CACCTTGTTTCCTCTCTGTTCCAAAACAAGAGTCCTGGCTGGACCCCATGCCTTCGCCGCTTTCCTTTTCGACGCTAGGACTTCTCTGCCATGGTCCTGATCCGAGACTTCTCTGTGGAAATCCTCTTGCATCGATACTGTCATTTTGGTACTGCGCTCCATGTGGTCTCTGAGGCCAGTGTTCACTTTTCCCTTCCCATGGCCCTGACCCTAGAAGGCCTACGTGGTGTCCCCTTCCATTCACTTCCTCCTGGTGGGGAGCAGACCCCAAGAGTCCCTTCTCTTGATGGTACCCTTCCCCACACATGGTGTTGGGCATATTCTGCTGACTGGGCCCATCTCCCAAAAGCCCCTGCCTGCGAGGCCCTGACCCAAGCAAGGCCCCTCGACCAGGCCCGCTTCTTTCTGAACTATCTTCTGGCCCTGTTCTTGGGGAACTGAAGGGCCTTCCACCTCCTCCTCCCCCTTCTATTCTAGGAAGGTCCCCTTGTCCTCCTGGCCTTTTCCCTAGCAGGCTGTTCTGACCTATTCCTGAACCAAGCATGGTCCCCTGACCTCCTAGACCTGACCCGAGGAAACTGCCTTGGCCGGGTGCTGCCCCGAGGAGTCCTTCTTGCGTTGGACAAGCTCCCAGAAGCCCCTGCCCTCCTTGGCCACCCTGCAGGAGCAGCACGTTGTTGCTGAGCAGCCCTCCACCCTGGAGATTCGGCAGGTGGTGGCTGCAGGAGGACGGCATGGTAAGTTGCATGCTGGCTCCTTTGTTACTTTTATACTCCTCAAGCCTATTCTTTATAATCCTCAGCTTGAACTTATGACCAGAGAAGAACATACCAAGAGGAGATCATCAATTCACATATCACACAAAAAAAAAAGAAAAAAAATATGCCAGTCAACAGTCAATTACTTTTACCAATAAACAGTAATCAAAGATAAAGCCTAATATCTTCAAATGATGTGAAATGAAGAAGGCAATGGATGAACACGTGAAAACTTTAAACACAACTATAAACTCAAATCCACACCAAAATATCACAGTGCATACTGTACTCTTCCTTCTCTTCATAATCAAGGAGGATTCACAATAACCCGTTATGTTCATTAGTATGGCTGTGTTTAAGTTTTCTTGCAAAATGAAAAAAAATTGGGGCACCTTTCCCAAATACATTTCAGATAGGTCTAGAATAACATCCTGCAATACAGAGACATTCACTCTTTACAATTCAATCTCCAAAGAGACTTGCATACCTTACACATGGACTCTCTTACACCACAGGATATTACAATAGAATATATCTGAAATCCCTTCACACAAACAGACCCCTTACCCTAGAGTCCTGTGGCCAGACATGCCGAGTGAAGCGCGGGGCATGTTTTGATTGAATCCGATCACCGGGCGGTAATTTCTGTTGCCTCCTTGATAATCTTCAGGCTTCAAAACACGGGGTGGTTCTTTAGCTCCTTCCAATCTCCTGGCTGGGAAGACGAAGTCATCTGAGTATTTTGGATCCCTGTACCTTACCGTCACAACATGGTTGTTTGTAAGTTCCTCCAAGCCTATAACTGGAGATGGAAGAGCTCTGCAGGGAAGAGAGAGAAAAAACATTGAATGTATATCTTAGATAAGCTTAGAACAAGCTCTAACAAGTCAAAGATGTAGCAAGTCTATACTGTAATAATAAAACAAGTATTTTTTCTCATGAATATAGTTCTGTTCCTTTCAAGGTTGCTTAGTACACACTGTCTAATAATAAAAGCAAATATCAATCCCAATCTTTTGGAAAGTTTTACTTGTAAAAACTATTTTTATAAGTCCCTTCTATTTATCATCTTTTTCGGAGTATAAATTTGTCGTCTCTTTGGAATACTCCTTAATACTTTCTGTTTGAATGAAACAATTTTAGTTTGAGAGAAAGAAGATGAGAGAAAAAAAGAAAGAACGAAAGAAAGAGAGAAAAAGAGGGGGGAGGGAGAAAATCCCAGCTCTAGATAGTGCAACAGGCTATCAAAAAAGTGTTGTACATCTTCCTCCTGATTGTTCAATGCTTCCTGTTATTTCATTATTTGTGAGGACAATGAACTCTCAATGTCTCAGTGTACCAATGCCCATCCTTTAAATTTATTGGAAAAAGTGTTCTTTGTGGGGGTAACTAATTTTTTCTTTATAAAGTCATGTTTAGTCCTACACCTGAGAATCATCCCCCCCCCCCCCCAACACAAATACACTCTTTTTCTCTCTCTCTCACACTCAATCAATCACTCACTTCCTCGTAAATTACACCTCCATGACTAGCTCCCCCCCTCCCCCAATTTGGAGTACGAGAAATATTCAATAGCTCAGACAGGCCTCAAGTCAGGTCAGTACTCCATTTATTTTACATCTGTCTATAATTTTCAATACTTAACCCATAGGTTCTGGGCAACATGTCTGTCACTCCAAGGAGAAATTTGTCTAAGGGGGGAGGAGGGGGCAGGAAGATGCTGTCATGGAAAATTTTGGCTGACTCCCAAAGGTGACAGGAATGTCAGAAAAAATTTGCCTGATGGCTGGGGTGACGGGAATGACTAAATTCTTGGTGGAAGATTAGACTAAGTAGGCTTTTAGGAAGAATAAATAAGTAAACAAGTAAACAAGGGTAAAATGCACCATCCATGAGCCATGGCTGGAAGAGTGCTGGCTCCACGGAAGACACTATTTCCATGCTCAGGATCCAATTCCTGCCCACCATAACTTATTGTTATTGCACTAAGTTGTAGTCTACACAGAGACAATATGGAATCTGCTCAAGGAAAACAGTCAATTATCACCTTGATACAACAAATCAAATGACAAATATTGGCAATGAAACATAGGGGAGAATAACATTGCAAAGGGGAGGCAAAGAACCGTGATATTGCACATGAGTGTTTGCATGGGCCAGGCCTAAGAGCTACATACTGGGAGTCTCCGCTAAGATATTATGCCCAAAATATTGTTCCATGTGCAAGGCACCCAGATCTAGATCCAATGGATTAAATGAGCTTTCTCTTGATTTATAACTCATACAGAAAAAGGACTCCAGTCAGCGGTAGCTGCAGACTGTAAATGTCAAAAAATAAAAAGACTCTTGGAGGGCTAAAGCAAATAAATAAATAAACAAGAATAAATAAAAATCAAATATCAAATTATGGGGAAGGTAGCTATCAGACAAGAAGGTCCCCTTAAGCCCACTACACTTCCTTTTCAAATATTTGTTTTTTGTTGCTCGCTTTTTACACTGGAAAAAGGGTCTCCTTTGAAGGAAATTAAAGTTTTCATTCTTCACTTTGGTGTGTTCTGTGAGCTTTAAAAATGATTATCTAGCTACAAATTTTGCAATGCAAGCCATTTAGGCAACTGTAACCCATATTCTTTCAACCCCTAGTCTCCTACTCCTGATTGACCCCGGTACGTGAACTGTTCAATGAAGTTTTGTTTTGTGAAGTTTGTTTACACATAGATGGCTCCATAAGTGCTAAGTCACCAAGGAATCAATTAGTAGGCTCTACTTGATCTCAACTAAGGTTCCCATAACTAGAAATTTAGGAAAAATGTTATTTCAAATACAATAGATACTGATATTGTAATATCATTAAAATACTAATAGGAAGATAGAAAGAAAAAGATCAAATCAAGGAAAATAAAAAGCAGATGTGACAAATAAGTCTCCTTGGGGCCTAAATTCCTGTGGAGCCATCTACGTGTAAACACTATTAATAAACAAACACTCAGGAGACAATGGCATGTACATACCATCCTTGTGTCCACTATCTTGAGTTCATATCAAGTCCCTAGAATAAATGGTGCCCTTCTGAACAAAAAGCAAACTTACCCAGTTGGTTTGACTACATTGGTGGCCATTAGCACAGTCCCCTGCATGCCTTGGAAGTCTTCTCCAGCAATTGGAACCTGTCAATGGTATAGGATGGATTTTTAGATAATTTAATTTCCTTGGAAGTGGAACTTAAAAAAAAGGAACAAAAAAGTGTTACTAACTTCATCAAATGAAACTAAATGTACTTGATTAAGATAGAACTCTATCAAGACCTCAAAAAATACCTCAGTGTCAAAGCTCATCCCCATACGATACAAGTCAGTCAGCTGTTTGTAAGATTGGTGTTGCACACTGACATAGAGGAAACTATCACCTCTTTTGTTGCGCAACTTTTCTTCTGGAGTCAATTTATGATACACTGACTTCAGGGCATTCTTTAATCTGTTAAGAAAACAAATATTAATTCTCAGTATAAAAAATAACATTGAAAAATCCAAATAGATTTCTGCAATGTAAAAACACCAAACCTGCGCAAAAGAAGCACCTTGTCTCGTCCACAAATGGGAGTAGGGCCACCCCCTGCCAAGCAAACTTCTTTCCATTCAGGTCAATCTTGAAGTCTTCTGGGTAGAAGTCAATGATTACAGACTCTGGATCGTACATAAGCTTTCCCCATGGCTCAGGCACATGAGCACGACTTGCAGCTGGGAACACACCCATCAACTGCTCCAGTGGATTAAAGGGTTCTCCAAGATCGAAGGAAACATTGGCAGTTGCACAGTTGGAAAAGTCGGAAGCAAATGGTGCATAGTGGAAGGGGAAGTACCAATCCCATGATACACATCCTTGGTAGTAGTATCTGTATTGAGAATCAGAAATCAGCTTTAATTCCACTGGTAACAGTCTGAACTGTTCAAAAGACATTTAAAGATCATAATCATATAAGACTTACTTAACAAGTTTCAAAAATGTCAACTTACTTTAACACCCAGCAGAGCCCACGTGCATATTCATTGGCAACCTTTTTCCTGAATGCATGATTATCAGAGCAGACTTCGAATTTTGATTCATAGTACCGATCCTTTGCACCCTCTTCATACAAGCGCACTTCATCTGGGGTCTCCTCCTCACTGTCACTGTCCATTTGGTCATTGGATCTCTTCTGTCCACGCCCCTGTCTGTGATTGAAATAGTTAAGAGAATAATTTAAAATTAATATTAGACAAGTTTTGTATTAGAGAAAGAGATAGAGATAGATAGAGAGAGAGAGGAAAGGAGGGGGGGAGGGAGAGGGAGGAAGGGAGAATACACATGGCAAGAATACATATCACCTTGCTAAAACAGGTTCAACTTTCATTAAAACTAATTACAAACCAACTTTCCAACAAAAGAAGCTGAGCTACAAATGCACACAAATACTTGTGTTTTCTACCCAAATACGTGAAATAATCACAACTGAATTTCTCACTCACATTGTCAACCTCATTTCAATCAATAATCCAATATCCTCAAGCCATATCCTAAAGATAACAACTTGTCCACTACCTTATACTTATTGTGATCAAAACCAAGCTACTTACCCCTTGGCATCCATGTTTGTAAGTCGTTGCTGCATGATCATTCCCCTAGCTCCTGAAGCGACGGACACATCTCCTGCTCTCATGACACCCAAACCTCCCTGTCCCGTCACATCCTATTGGAGAAATTATATGATATAGTGTGCAAGGTGTCAACTATACTTCCATAAGCTTCATAAGATATTCCATTCTTATTTCATTCACTTATTTACTTCTTACTATTACTATTGCTTTAAATTGTCCCAAAAAATATCCTTATGACAGCCATAATACAAGATACACTTTTAGAGACAAACTTTCTGAGTAGTACATACTCTGAACATATTTGCAGCTTCCTTTTCAATTTTCTCCTGTCTCCTCTTCATCTTGTTTCTGGCCTTGAAGTCCAGTTCCCTCCTCTGCCTGTCTCTGAAGATCTCATCCTCCACTTTACCAAGGTTCTGCATGATCATCTGCACACGTGACATGTCAGCTGTTCCGCTGTCTGTTAACCAGCCCTAGAAAAAAAAAAAGACATGGATACAGTCATTTAATAACCTATTCAGAATTAATTTCACTACAGGTTTAAGTTTTAATTTGCTTTTAGGTACAAATAGCTTCTCTAAACTATTTCTACAAGGAATATGAAACGTCTACTGTAGGCTTGTTTGAGTTTACACCTAGACTCCTCAAGTGTGCAGCAAACAAAAAGGATTCAATTGGTCGGAAAATGTGTCCTCGCCAGACTTACCCTTGCCCTGAGTTTTTCATAATACTATTAATAGCAGTACTGTTATTATTGAAATTATGGATAGTATAATATTGTTAACCCTGAGGTCCGATTTACTACAATGATGGATTTTCAAAGGAAATAAGTCAGGCACAAGTGGCTACAATAGAGAAAAGCCTCTCTTTCTTTCTTATCTTGTGTATGAGCAGGGTGGAAGGGAGGGAGAGGGAGGGGAGAGAGAGAAAAAAAGTAAACAGTTGAGGTAGGCAAGACTAGTAACTGACTTGGGTGATAACTAAGCAATGAAAGATATGGTATGTATATATGTACATGCTATCCCTACTGTAATAGGTTAAGAAAAAAAATACTTCCTTTATGCGTTGTTCAATCATCTTTTTGACCTCATCTATTTCTCTAATTCCTTTGATCTTTGTAAAAAAAAGTTCCTACTATAATACCAGCAATATGATAAATAAAGCTTTCAACCCCAAAAACCTAAGGAATGGGGCAAAGAGGGCATATTAGTTAGGGCTAATAACTAATTCCTTGGTGGCTTTGTCTATGAAGCCATTTGTCCATAAAAAAATATTTATAAAATAAAACCATAATTAACATTAAAATATTAATAAAATAAAACCATAGTGAACAGTGCATTTACCTGGAACCAATGAGTCTAATAAAACATTAAATGTAGAACAACTAAAGGGAGTTATGGCATACATTACAATATATCATGTTTTTTCTTCTATTTATTTATTTTTTTTCTATTAAGAAGCCACGTTACTGTTAAGTAGGAGCTGTATCACATGCAATAAAAAAGAAAGAAGAAAAGAAAGAATAAACTTACTCCAGTTTTGTAACAACAGTCTTTGTAGAGACGAACTAGACGGTCAATTGCATTTTCTCTGATTTCTAGTGAGGGCAGATGAGGAAGGAAATCATTTCCTGTAAAAAAAAGTGAGAGAAAAACAAATAAATCAGTAAGAAGTAATATAAATGAAAGCTAACTGAGAAATTTCTGAAACAGTCATTGAAGGTTTAACAACATAAACATGTAAAGGCCTTGCAATTGTAGAAATATATGACAAAACTAATCAGATACTCAAATCTTAATTAGCAACTCTAATCTTAATCATTATCACTATAAAGGATACATTAGTAGGCCTACATCACTTTCATTAACTTCATTACCTAAATCAAAGGATAGGAAGACAAAATCTATCTCTTACTTTGTTATTTGCAGCAGCTATGTAACATGAAACAAGAGGTAAGCAAGTGCCCCTAGCTATTCATTCTCCTTATTCAAACAATCTATTCTGCAGGATAAAAAAAGACCAACTTACCCACGAAGAAGCACATGAAGACCCAGTCGTCTATGGCACGATCAAAGTTATACTCAAAGGGTAGGGAGGGCATGGCAAGCTCTCTTTCTAGGTATTCCCTCAGCACGTTGAGCCGGACGAAGATAAACTTGACTTCCTCAAATACCTTCTCTGATGCTTCTTCCATGCCATCGGGAATCCCCACACACTCACTCATCTCGTGACCTTGAGAAAAGTCAGGGAGATTAACAGATTTACATATGTATAACTGATATTGTAAATAGGATGATTACAATAAAAGAAGCATTGCTATTTATGAACTATGTGAAGGGGACATCTCTTCATGAAAAAATTTGGCTGAGGGCTCAGGTGACAAGAACATCTTGTAATAAAATATTGATGTTGAGTGGGCACTGACAAGGGCGTCATGCCATGAGTACACAAAGCTCTTGCATTATTTCCAATAGTAAAAGAGGTTGGAATGTATCATCTATGAGTCATGCCTGGAAGAGTGCCTGCTCCAGGGCAGTGCTGTGTTTGGAAAAAACTGAATATGAAAATATAAAATAACAGAAATAACACATTACTACTTATGTTTCTTACACTGAGTTGTTGACTACCTGGGGAGTTAACATGAAATCTGCTCAGTGAAAACATTATACTACCATCTTGATACAGCATGACAAATGACAAATATAGGGCAAAACAAAAGAGGAATAAGCAGAATGCAGCATTGCAATGAGGAGGAAAGGAGTCTTGTTACCACACAAGTGTTTATATGGGCCAAGCCTATAAGCTGCACATCTGGGAGTCACCACTCAAGTAATCCTAATGCCCAAATTTTGGTCCATAAGGACCCAGATCCAACAAGTTGAAATTTTTATCATAAAATGTGCATATAAATATCTTGGAAGGTATATGTTGGAATGTTATAGGTGGTATCTGGCTTCTTAAGGACTCAAAAATCCTTGATTGACACAATTATCTACAATTACTCATGAAAGACATTACTATCAGTGATAAAAATAAAAAATTAATTCTGAGCCTATGATACAATTTCTTTATTCACATGTTGCTTCTCACTACAATAGGGGAAAACAAAAATATTGTTTCAACTTGCAAGTAAAACAAGGCAATTAGGGCAATGTAAATACCAATCTCTTCCATGCTTTCCTTACCCACCCCACCCTCAAAGACACGAAGGCTCTCCTTCAGTCACCTACCAAGCTGTCCACAGAGATCACATGGCTTGGGTTTGTTGGGCTTGAACTCCTCTCGGATGATGGTGAAGTTGGCCTCATGTGTTGCCAGTCCCAACATAATGAGATCGGCATCAGCCCCACAAAGGACATGTTGGGTGTTGGGGTCGTGGTCTGGCTGTGCTCGCTGACGCCGGATGAAGTCCATGATCTTATGTTCTCCCTCACCTGGCACATTTGCATCTGAGAGTATTACCTGTTTTTGAAGGGAATAACAAAAAGCTTAGGGACATTGAAAAGAAAATTATCATAGTTTTTTTTTTTAAGTTCTATTCACCTACTGTTCAAGATGTTACAAGTTCTAAAATACTATGTAATAGCTAAAATTCTTAAAATAATTTGAGGAGAAAGTTTTAGAACCCCAACCTTAATCTTCCTCCAGCCTGGGTCGTTATTTAACCGGTCATGAATGTAATAGTGAAGGCATTTTGAAAGCCTCTCCATGAATGGGGTTCCAGGAGTGATGCAATTGGAGTCGAAGTGGGATTCCTTGGGCTTCTCTGGGGGGAGTTTGAAGCCTGCCAAAGATATGGAAAATAGTGAGTAAGTAAGTAAGGAAAAGAGGAAGCAAGAAAGAACGAAGGAGTGTGAAAGTATGGGTGGGAAATCATAATTTCCTAATTCATTATAAGAATCATTTCAAAGTACTACATTTAAAGTGAATTAACCCAATGACGCCGGGTGTACAAAAGGAAAATAAAACTCTACGCTCTGGCAAACAAAGGCGGCGTGCCGACTTTGAGCGCCGGAGTACGGGGCGTCAGCCCGAATCACTGGCTCGCCGCGCTTTGGCGCGCCGCCGGCTGGTTTGGCCGCACGCCACCTTTCGAGCGATTTGTTTACACGCGTATCGTCGTCACCCGGCGGCAAGGGGTTAACATAAAAAATGAGTAAAACAGGAAAGGGAACAAGCCTAAAGGACAGGATCCTAATATAACTACTTTATTAATAATAAATAACATACAAAATAACTGCTTGAAAGCCTTACCCTTTGACAAGAGCTCCTGTCTCAGGCTCTTCACCTTTGCTGCCTTCTCCTCAGCTTCCTTGGAGGCACGGAAACGCCTTGACCTCTGCTGGTTCATTTTGGCTCTGGGGGCCACACCATCAATGGCCATGTAGAGCACTTTGCGAGGACGTACAATTGTAAACAGGCGGTCTATGCACTGGAAAGAAAGGATTGGTGGTGTAAAGGGCACTGTCTGGTCTAAATATTTCTCATGAATGTAATCAAAATATTCTGGTTGTTTTCTGACCCCTTCCTCTTCCCCATCACAGATACATTACTCCTGAAAGTATACAATAGGACAATAGGAGGACTAAGTATTCTGCAAAGTTCAGGGGGAAGTTTTTTCATTCTATGAGTCCTCTAAGTTCAATTGTAATTAAATTGATTTTATTGTCTTTTATTACTTGATGGGGTAAGAAGTCAAAAGTAAGGATGCTGGAGCAAGAGAGAGAAAAAGAAAAGGAAAATAAGTACAAGCCAAACTGAATGGTCTCAAATACCACCTGAAACCATAACACTGATTAAAAAAATAAATAAAAAATTACAGAATTTGAAACATAAAAATGGGGGAGTGGTTGAAGAAATGGAGGGATATTTAAATGTTGATAGCTCAAAACTTCAGACGTACATTTTTCTTTTTTTTTTTTTTTATTTATTTATTTATTTTTAAATAGGTCTTTCTTTTCCCCACCTGAAGAGTGATATGGGTGAGTTTGCTATTGCTATGATGCCTTTGTTTATTCACTTTATTGGGTATATGAGCTTGTCTGGCTAGTAGTCAGTGTCAAGCACTAGCACAATGATTTTTCCTTACATCTGATCAATATCCTCAAAGACTCATACCATGGCTGAGGTCTTGGTTGCTGTAATATTGATAAGGTTTACATTGAAAATTGATTTAGGAGCCAATTTTGTTACTTCCAGATACTAACTGCTCCAATCTGCAATTACAGTTTCACATATTTGAATACATTCAATAACTTTCTCAATCCCTTAAGTTCAAAAAACAATGATTAACGCACCAAATAACTGCCACAATGTTTTACAAATTATATCAGCTTCCTGCCACCACATACCAAACATGTCTCTCTACACTATATTTGCAATGTAATTTGTGATGGGATTAGTTTGTCTTCCTTTGCAGAACAAAGTGCGACCTGACTAAATATAGATTCCTATCTAAAAAAAAAACTAACTAACTAACTAACTTAACCAGAGGTTGGTATGGTTAGAGGTCTGCTGCTACAACAATAAAAAAGTGTTGCTGTGTTGTTTGATATCAAATTTGCACTGTTGCTTATACTTGGAGCCCCAATGTTTTTAAAAAGTGTCACAAATTCATTAAGGGTTTTATCCCTGTATTATTTTTAGTGATAAATCACACCAATGACAAAACATTTCACTGGATCAAATACTGCGTGCCACCATAATGACACGGCTTCTGCACTCAACTATATTGGTGAATTATGTAACATTGCTCCATACAAAGATGTCGCCTCCAATTCTATAGAGCGTAAAGTGTGAATAGATTAGATAAATTAATAAAATCTAATGGTATTTTATATTGCTTGGAGAAGAAGAATAGTAAATCAAATTTGAATTACCTATAAATGTGTATCAGACAATAGACAATAGTAGCATACATATTAATTTCCTGATCCACTTCTGAATTGCAAGGTTTGTTTACATTGACTTAGCAAAGTGAAGAAAGGAACTTGTTCTCTGTGCTACAAATTTTGACACCTTTATTCTTTCTGCACTTGAAATTTGTATTTCTTGAATGTTTTGCATGATGTTCTTCCATTTTATTAGCATTGTACAAAAATTCCATGTCCTCTAGATTAACCTGAACTGATGCGATGTCACAACAGAAACCAGCAAACAGTCTATCTGAGTTCTGTAATAGATAATCACAGCACAATACAAGCTGGACCCAAGGGACCTCAAACGAAATTCAAATCGGTTCTGTCACTGCAGATAAGGGTCTGTGCCACATATAATATGCAAAATATCATAAATGAAAATGAGTGGCAGATAGTGGTCATAATTCCAACCAACAGTGACAAATAGGATTTTGATGACTCACAGGCTGGCCATTGCAAATATCAAGGTAAAAAATTACTGGTACAAGATCCAGATCCTCGACAGGTAAACACAATGGAGACTTAGAAAAAGATGGGTTGATCTCTTATTTCTGTTATGCATCTCCTTTATTTTCAGTTTGCACACATTTTGCCACAGATGAAGTGTGTATTGGTTTTCACTAAGATTTGCACTCCATATACTTCTTTTTTACAGCAATGCTGATTTTCATACAAGAAAAATTTACTCGGTGTTGTGGATATTTTCATCGCTTTCAACTTGAGGCCGAAGCAGCTGTATCTGTGTTGTTCATTACTCTATTTATTATTCTCTATAAGATGGTTAATGGTTAAAAGCAAGATAAATGTGCTAGACATCTAAAGTCATGTAGCACTATAGTTAATGTTAGTGAAAGGTGGTTGAGTTAGTGATTAGTTGTCTAAGCTGGGCAAAGGAATTGGTGAGTTAAAGGGTTAAGGTCGGGTGTTATATTAGATAAAGGATATGTATGCGTTTGAGGAAAGAGAACAGGTTGTTGATGCAGAAAGTGTGGGATTCTGTAAGGATGCCTGATAGGTTGGGAGGTCGGTGAAGGGAGGATAGGTGGGGGAAAGCAGAGGTACGGGCTGCTTCAAAACATGGGCACGACAATAGGATGTGTACGATTGAAAGGGGAACATTACATGCTCTATAAGATGGTGGTGTCCATTCCCTCTATCTTTGTGTGTTGCTCTTGGTAACATTAACCAAGGCCCCTATTTACAATTAATGTGTTTTGCAGGAACTAAATTACTGAAAGGTTTACTTTGATCATTTGCTTTTACCCCACAACTTCCCTGATACTTATCATGACCTCCGAAGTTATTGGGGCCAATATTGTAGCTGTGCTTTATTTGCAACCAGAATGAGAACTAGAGTCATTCAAAACATGACAACTTACAGAAAATTGTCTTTATCAGGAAAACTTACCCCATATATCATCTGGTTAATTTTCCAACTATGACATTTGGGTCTTCCAAGACAATGTATATATCAATAGATTTTTTCTCATGTTTTGACAATGAATCTGATGATCATTTCTATCACATTCATCAGCAAACAATCTTAACCCAATGGTGACGGATGAAGAAAGAAAGAAAGAAAGAAAGAAAGAAAGAAAGAATAAAAGAAAGAAAGAAAAGAAAAAAAGAAAAGAAAAAAAAAAGAGAGAGAGAGAGAGAGAGAGAAAAAAAAAAACCTCTGGAGAACAATGGCAGCACGCCGACTTTGAGTGCGGGAGTTCGGCTTGCCACCACATTTCGAGGGGTTTGTTTTCACACCTATCGGCATCACCCGCCGTGAAGAGGTTAACATGTGATAAATCCTGATAATAGGTCAGGGAAAATGTGGGGTAAAACAGGCTGAAATAAGAATAATAGAGAACAAAAATGCATAAGACCAGCACTAAAAGTGTTTAAAATTGGTTTATGAAACTCTACGGATATCCCTAAGCATCTCATTAAGTCTATGGACCAATGTGCCAGCTTTCAAAAAAACTCTACAGGAATTAAACCCAACGTTCGGTAAGATCTACGGGATTTCACATATTTCAAATCTCCTGTGGTAATTGTAAAATATGTTCTACCTGATAATCCAACCTAAAATTTTATGCACTATGTTCTACATATTTCCTGGGCCCCCGTGGTAAAATATGTGCCGAGCTAGGGAATTCTGGCCCATGGACCCCATGGTATTATAGATGCTTTCGTCCATGGTCTGAATTGCTTGGTTTCTAATCACTATTCTTGGCATTTGAGATATTTGTCAAATCTCACCGTGGCTAAAACATGTTTACAGAATAAATTAACTAAATTACCAAAACATGAAAAAGAAGTCTAATAAAAATCACAGAATATATTAACCCCTTCACAATGGGTGATGCCACTAGGCGTGAAAACAAACTGCTCGAAAAGTGATGTGTGGCTGTATGCCGTGGCGGCGAGCCAGTGATTCGGGTTGATGTACTGAACTCATGCGCTCAAAGTCGGTGCGCTTCCATTGTTTGCCAGAGCGTAGAGGTTTTTTTCTTGTTTTCTTCACCCGTCACGATTGGGTTAAATACACGAAAAAAAAGAAGGAATGAGAATGAATCTGATGATAATCTCCGTTGCATTCTCCAGCCGACAATTTTGATGTGATTTGGTAAGTCCCAATTACGCCAACTTTGAAAGTCTATGGGCCGACGCACCAACTTTCGAAAAAAAAACTCTATGGGACCCAAACACATCGTTCGGTAAAATCTACAGGATTTCACATAATCCAGATCCCCTGTGGTAATCGTACAATGCATCCTAACCAATAAACCAACCTAACCTAACCCTGTGGGATTTATACACTACAATCTATATATTCCCTAACCAGGGACCCTCATGGTATTAAATGCGCCTAGTAATATATAATATACGTTTTAATCCTTGCGAGGTAAACATGATAGGGACTGAAAGGTCAATCTTCTGTCTTCTCTGTCCTGTATCCCCCTTATTTTAGATTTCCGCACTTTTAGCCATAGATGAAAAGTATCTTAGTTTCCGTCAAGGTAACCACTCCATACACTTATTTTACTGTACTCTTGGTTGACATATACGAAAAGTTTTCCAACAGAAATAGACATTGGCAATTATAAATTAATCTTGGTCACATTTGTTGTGATCCTTGAAAAATAAACACGATGGGTACTTTGAAAAGTACGCATCATGTTATTTACCTCCTTTATTTTCTATTTGTGCACCTTTCACCGTGGATGAATAGTGTCTTAGGGAAAATTTTCCGCGCATGTCAACCAATCGTACAGTAAAATAAGTGTATGGAATGGATACCTTGACGAAAAGTAAGACACTTTTCATCTATGGCAACAACTGCGCAAATCTAAAATAAGGGAGATATAGGACAGAGAAGAGAGAAGCTCGACCCTTCATTTTCTAAGTCCCCTTCCATGTTTACCTTGCGAGATCAAAACAATTGTGACGCGTAACTCATTACTGCGATCCAGCAAGTAGTCCATGTATTGCTACGCGCTTGTGAAAACGCTTATTTTGTCATTACTAGCGTCTGATTCTCTGAATTCATGTATGTAATGCATTCTTCTAGTTTTATTATACTTCTCTTGCGTCTTTTGGTAATTATTTACGTTATTCTATACAATAACCTTTTGCGCATGCGCGTTTTCACCGGGAGATTTGACAGGTCGACCCACCGCCATTCGCTCAGAAACA